TTTTATTTTACTTTACCTCGGGGGGGGGGGATGTGGAAATGAATGCCTTTTTCCTGTATTTTAGCTTAATTTGTGTCTTTCAATGATTTATAATTCCCATGTTTTTAAGAGACACTGTCGTGCAGTTTTCTCGTTCACAGCCGTGTTCACTGCAAATAATGTGGTGGGGGGGAGTTTGAAGTGGCGAAAGCACCGCTGCATTTCCACTGGTTTTGGAGAAGGGGAGGGTCTTTGTTACCCCCAGACCGAGACTGAATCAGTTCAGTACAGTTGGAGCCGGAGACATACGCCTCATCGGCAGAAACAGACGCGCATCAGGACACGCGACTGGAAACCAAGACACCGGCGGATGTTTGCAAAGTAATGAATGCATCTTATGGCCCCGTCCGCCTTCCATATCCTGGCCGCATTATTCATTTTGAGGAATACTGAATCTGTGTATTTTTTTTGTGTGTGTGTGAGTGAGATGATTTAATGCATATTCATATTTATTTTAACATCTTCTGATTTCTCTCAACATGGGGACAGGAGAGCTGTCAGTCAATAATGGGGGGGGGGGGGGGGGGGGGGATGTGGAAATGAATGCCTTTTTCCTGTATTTTAGCTTAATTTGTGTCTTTCAATGATTTATAATTCCCATGTTTTTAAGAGACACTGTCGTGCAGTTTTCTCGTTCACAGCCGTGTTCACTGCAAATAATGTGGTGGGGGGGAGTTTGAAGTGGCGAAAGCACCGCTGCATTTCCACTGGTTTTGGAGAAGGGGAGGGTCTTTGTTACCCCCAGACCGAGACTGAATCAGTTCAGTACAGTTGGAGCCGGAGACATACGCCTCATCGGCAGAAACAGACGCGCATCAGGACACGCGACTGGAAACCAAGACACCGGCGGATGTTTGCAAAGTAATGAATGCATCTTATGGCCCCGTCCGCCTTCCATATCCTGGCCGCATTCACGACGCTGACGCGGCTATAATGTTTTAATGATGTCTATTCCGCTACTGTAGTGGTTCTCCATCTTCGCAGGAGCCACATTATAGGCAATCGCTGCTGAAAGGATTTCTCTAACGGTCGCTGTTGATGGATGTACAAACGGATATGATATTGTAAACGTGTGTGATATAGTTTTCTGAATTCTGAGGACTGAGGGGAGATTCTGCGCACTGCAGTAAGGCTACATTCAGCAATACACGCGATTGGACTGTGGATGTGATGGATATTGAGTGTTTGTCGGCAAAAGAGATCACATTTGGGTTTTCATTAAGAACAAAGTTTGCTTGCATGAAAACACAAGTTGAATTAATAGCGTTTGTGCAGTTGCTCATCCAGTGTGACTGAGTGGTTCAAAGCCACTCTATCCTTCAACAGATGAGAAGCAACCAGTTCCTACAACTTCAGTTGCCTGCACTAGGGGAAAAGAATGGTGTTTATGGCAGAAATCTTAAAACATATCGAAATCATCCCACAAAAATAATCACCCAGCCTGGAATCGTAATGAAAGTGTTGCGGAGAAAAAGAATCATACCGTTTATAGCGTATTTTCTGCTGTTAGTTCTTACCATGTTGAACTTGGCTAACTACAGGTGGACTAAAGAACCTCAACAGTGTAATCTCCAGATGAGAAGCACGCCATATCAGGACAGGTCAGACATTCGATTCCTTTACAGACCATCTCTTGCTAAAAAGAGACAGCTCGTCTCCACTCTACCCTACTTTTCTTTAGGTTCACAATGATGACAGGAGTACCACTAGAATCCTATTCAAATTCCTTTAGGATGACTGGAGGAAAGCATGTGGGAAATTAATGCATATTTTCTGTATTTTAACTTAATTGCTGTTTTTCAATGATCTATAATTCCCAGTTTTTAAGCGACACTATTGTGCAGTTTTCACGTAGCCTATTATTTCACAACTGCACTTGCTGTGTTCAGTCATCTCGACTGTTTTGCAGTTCACTGACATAATGTGGTGGGGGGAGTTTGAAGTGGCGAAAGCACCGGTGCATTTCCACTGGCTGTGGAGAAGGGGAGGGTCTTTATTAGGCTACCCCAGACCGAGACTGAATCTGTTCAGTACAGTTGAAGCCGGAGACAGACGCCGCATCGGCTAAAACAGACGCGCATAACGACACGCAACTGAAAAGCAAGATGTTTGCAGAGTAATGAATGCATCCTGACCGCATTTACAACGCTGACGCAGTTATAATATATTAATGATGTCTATTCCGCTACTGTAGTGGTTCTCCATCTACGCAGGAGCAACATTATAGGCAATCGCTGCTGAAAGGATTTCTCTAACGGTCGCTGTTGATGGATGTACAAACGGATATGATATTGTAAACGTGTGTGATATTTTTTTCTGAATTCTGAGGACTGAGGGGAGATTCTGCGCACTGCAGTAAGGCTACATTCAGCAATGCACGCGATTGGACTGTGGATGTGATGGATATTGAGTGTTTGTCGGCAAAAGAGATCACATTTGGGTTTTCATTAAGAACAAAGTTTGCTTGCATGAAAACACAAGTTGAATTCATAGCGTTTGTGCAGTTGCTCATCCAGTGTGACTGAGTGGTTCAAAGCCACTCTATCCTTCAACAGATGAGAAGCAACCAGTTCCTACAACTTCAGTTGCCTGCACTAGGGGAAAAGAATGGTGTTTATGGCAGAAATCTTAAAACATATCGAAATCATCCCACAAAAATAATCACCCAGCCTGGAATCGTAATGAAAGTGTTGCGGAGAAAAAGAATCATACCGTTTATAGCGTATTTTCTGCTGTTAGTTCTTACCATGTTGAACTTGGCTAACTACAGGTGGACTAAAGAACCTCAACAGTGTAATCTCCAGATGAGAAGCACGCCATATCAGGACAGGTCAGACATTCGATTCCTTTACAGACCATCTCTTGCTAAAAAGAGACAGCTCGTCTATGTTTTGACCACGTGGAGGTCTGGCTCATCCTTTTTCGGAGAGCTATTTAATCAACACCCAGAGGTTTTCTTTCTTTATGAACCGATGTGGCACATCTGGCAAAAGCTGTACCCGGGTGATGCTGTGTCCTTACAGGGAGCAGCAAGGGACATGCTAAGCTCACTCTACCGTTGTGATCTTTCAGTTTTTCAGCTGTACAACAGCCCTGGGGGCAAAAACTTCACCTCCCTTGGACTTTTTGGGGCCACACTTAATAAAGTCATCTGCTCATATCCTCTTTGCTCCGCTTATAGGAAAGAAGTCGTTGGGATGGTGGATGACAAAGTGTGCAAAAAATGTCCTCAACAAAGCCTCAGGCTCTTAGAGGAAGAATGCCTTAAGTACAACACTATAGTCATAAAAGGGGTCCGGGTTCTGGACGTCAATGTTTTGGCACCTCTTATGGAGGATCCGTCTCTGGATCTCAAGGTGATTCACCTTGTGCGAGATCCCAGAGCCGTGGCCAACTCCAGGATCAAATCGAGGCACGGGTTGATTCGTGAGAACTTGCAGGTGGTTCGAAGCAGGGATCCCAAACTGCGTCGGATACCCTTTGTGGATCCTGGCCACAAAATTAGCAAAAAGGACGGAGCAGATTACCATTCGGTTGGAGCTATGGAGGTGATATGTGATCGGACGTACAGGAGCCTGAGGACTGCCTTAAATCCGCCCAGCTGGCTGAAAGGGAAATACCTGGCGGTGCGCTATGAGGATCTGGTGGAAAACCCTATCAAAATGCTCCGGAATGTTTATCAATTTGCTAATCTCAGTGCCAACCTTGACATCGAGTCTTTTGCTCTTAACATGACGAATGGCACAAGCTCTTCCTCAAAGCCATTTATTGTGTCTGCCAGGAACGCGACACAGGCGGCCAGTGCATGGAGAACAGTGTTGAGTATTCAACAGATAAAACAAGTGGAAGAGTACTGCCATCATGCAATGGCAATCCTGGGTTATGAACGTGTGAGAACAGCTGGAGAAGCAAAAGATTTGAGTAAATCTTTATTGACTGCTTCCAAACTGTGACAGAGTAATGTCCACCTGAAACGGAGCACCAACTCTTTATGGAATGTCATAGCACTTTGTGGTCATTCAATAGCACCCTTACTTTTCTAAATGGACCTGTAGATGTTTGATACAGCAGCATCTTTGAACCACAACTGGAAAATGTATATTGTACAAATCAAATGTTGCATTGGCCTTTTTTCCCCAAAAATGGATGCTTAAGGTTGTTTGGAATGTTCTAGGTCTGTTTTTGAGTTTCAGTTAATTTGCTGTATGTAAAATAATGATAATGAACAAAAAAAAAATACTGATCAAAACAATAAAAAAAAAATCAATTTAAAGACAATCATTAAAGTTCACAATCTCCACACACTTTATGAATGACAGTGTTGTGTGTTATGTAAATAAAAACCTAAAGTAATGCGTTTAATTTTTTTTAAATACTTAAATTTTACTGCTTAGTTCCTGCTGAATTTGTCAAGAAAGCATTTGATTCCACTCAAGACTGCTTTTATCATAAATACAGGAAATGTATAGCCACAATTACTTATCACAAACAATAAGTAAAAAACAATCACTGCAAAAATAGTTCAGAAAAGTGAAAGTAGTTCTGAGAAAAGATCTATAGCTGCATCTGCATTCTATGGGACCTCTGTTTACAACCTCCATGTTTTATATTGGTAAAAAATATAATACAGTATTGATCTGCTTTTGCCATTCAGAGATGTGAATGGGAGTGAGAGAATACCAAATGAATTCAAACAGGCTTTCACTGGTTTATCATTGATTGGTAAATTGGTATACCATGCCACTAGTTTACTATTGAGTAAATTGGCTGATAATATAACTACTGTACAAAGGGTTAACCTAGGAACTGTAGTTACTGAGAGAACATCAACCTGAATTGTTCAATTGTGGTGTCTATCTGCAAAATTGTTTTCAATGGTAAAAATCCAAAGCAAAAAGTAAACATTTAACCACTGGACGTCAATGTTTTGGCACCTCTTATGGAGGATCCGTCTCTGGCTCTCAAGGTGATTCACCTTGTGCGAGATCCCAGAGCCGTGGCCAACTCCAGGATCAAATCGAGGCACGGGTTGATTCGTGAGAACTTGCAGGTGGTTCGAAGCAGGGATCCCAAACTGCGTCGGATACCCTTTGTGGATCCTGGCCACAAAATTAGCAAAAAGGACGGAGCAGATTACCATTCGGTTGGAGCTATGGAGGTGATATGTGATCGGACGTACAGGAGCCTGAGGACTGCCTTAAATCCGCCCAGCTGGCTGAAAGGGAAATACCTGGCGGTGCGCTATGAGGATCTGGTGGAAAACCCTATCAAAATGCTCCGGAATGTTTATCAATTTGCTAATCTCAGTGCCAACCTTGACATCGAGTCTTTTGCTCTTAACATGACGAATGGCACAAGCTCTTCCTCAAAGCCATTTATTGTGTCTGCCAGGAACGCGACACAGGCGGCCAGTGCATGGAGAACAGTGTTGAGTATTCAACAGATAAAACAAGTGGAAGAGTACTGCCATCATGCAATGGCAATCCTGGGTTATGAACGTGTGAGAACAGCTGGAGAAGCAAAAGATTTGAGTAAATCTTTATTGACTGCTTCCAAACTGTGACAGAGTAATGTCCACCTGAAACGGAGCACCAACTCTTTATGGAATGTCATAGCACTTTGTGGTCATTCAATAGCACCCTTACTTTTCTAAATGGACCTGTAGATGTTTGATACAGCAGCATCTTTGAACCACAACTGGAAAATGTATATTGTACAAATCAAATGTTGCATTGGCCTTTTTTCCCCAAAAATGGATGCTTAAGGTTGTTTGGAATGTTCTAGGTCTGTTTTTGAGTTTCAGTTAATTTGCTGTATGTAAAATAATGATAATGAACAAAAAAAAAATACTGATCAAAACAATAAAAAAAAAATCAATTTAAAGACAATCATTAAAGTTCACAATCTCCACACACTTTATGAATGACAGTGTTGTGTGTTATGTAAATAAAAACCTAAAGTAATGCGTTTAATTTTTTTTAAATACTTAAATTTTACTGCTTAGTTCCTGCTGAATTTGTCAAGAAAGCATTTGATTCCACTCAAGACTGCTTTTATCATAAATACAGGAAATGTATAGCCACAATTACTTATCACAAACAATAAGTAAAAAAAAATCACTGCAAAAATAGTTCAGAAAAGTGAAAGTAGTTCTGAGAAAAGATCTATAGCTGCATCTGCATTCTATGGGACCTCTGTTTACAACCTCCATGTTTTATATTGGTAAAAAATATAATTCAGTATTGATCTGCTTTTGCTATTCAGGGATGTGAATGGGAGTGAGAGAATACCAAATGAATTCAAACAGGCTTTCACTGGTTTATCATTGATTGGTAAATTGGTATACCATGCCACTAGTTTACTATTGAGTAAATTGGCTGATAATATAACTACTGTACAAAGGGTTAACCTAGGAACTGTAGTTACTGAGAGAACATCAACCTGAATTGTTCAATTGTGGTGTCTCTCTGCAAAATTGTTTTCAATGGTAAAAATCCAAAGCAAAAAGTAAACATTTAACCAGAATGAGACAATTGCCTTTCCTGTTTGACTGTGGAATTATGTGAAGTGTCAGATTTGATGCAGATTTTAATCATTTCATGCAAATTGTTCCTTAACACCCTTTAGTGCATGCTGGGAAGAAAGCAAATAAGACTAAACCATCAATTTTCAGCCTATTGTAAGGAGAAAAAAAACAGATCAACTGATCAGTGTTTTTATGTTTTTAACAACAACAAAACCTATAACAATAATGCTAAAGATATACTTTTAAAAATCACAATGTAAAAGAATAGCAGCGTTCACATCCATATTGGAACAGAGGAACAATGTTGTTGAAATCACTTTCAAAGCATTTTCCCCCCAGCAGTTGAATGATAAAATTATGGATTAAGGATCCATAATTATGGATATGCTTAAGCATTTAAAGCAGCAGATGACATAACTACTCTTGAGCTATTGTGTTACATGTATCATTACAGTTATTGTTCTCAGTGTACACAGGCCTTTACTTGTGTTGCTGAAAGTTGCAAGTTGTTATAATCTCAGAACAGTAAGTAAACCAAAAACTACAACAATCAGGTATCTTTGGCCCAAATTCATTGGCAAAGCCTACCAAACAACATTTCTGTTCTCAAGTTATTTTCAACATGCATTTTACTGGCAGTAAAAGAAAAGTGAGTATATCTCTGGACAGCACATGTTCAAGTGGTCATGATAGCTCTCTGGATACTAACTCTCTTTCTTTTACCATAGGCGGTATTTTTTCAGGGCCATTTGGGACTGTTTTACAGCTTTCATATTTTTCAAAATGAATCGATGTGGTTTAGAGCCCTGTGTAATTGGCCTATGGGGTTCTGTTAGAAACAAACAGGAACAAAACTTGGTTGCAGTGGCTACAAACACATACTGCATCAAATTAAGACGTATTACTGGCAGTAAAAGAAAAGTGAGTATATCTCTGGACAGCACATGTTCAAGTGGTCATGATAGCTCTCTGGATACTAAGGAGAAACAAGGGCTATTGTCTTTCTTTTACCATAGGCGGTATTTTTTCAGGGCCATTTGGGACTGTTTTACAGCTTTCATATTTTTCAAAATGAATCGATGTGGTTTAGAGCCCTGTGTAATTGGCCTATGGGGTTCTGTTAGAAACAAACAGGAACGAAACTTGGTTGCAGTGGCTACAAACACATACTGCATCAAATTAAGACGTGTTGTACTCAGGAACATGCTTGTGCACAGTCCATTCCCCATGTACATCATAATGACCGGGTACCATAGCATCTCTCTGCTTGCCTCTGACGATGTCTTGTGCAGTTGCCATGACAACAGCTCAAGGAGGTGCAGCTATTATTTGTGTATGAACTGAAGCTATGGGAGCAGGTGGTGTAGATTCAACCTTATAAGAAAGAGAGACAAAAACAGAAATGCTGTATGTATGCACTTTTGTTTAATTAGCAGGTATATGACCCAGCTACACTTTTGGTGACATTATCACATGTGGGAATTGACTATGTGGTGACTGAATCATGTAGTTTATTTGCACCATGCATAGGATGTTGAATTGGACTTGCTGTATAATGACAGGAAGATACAGTAAATGTATTCAATGTATTTTCTTGATTTTTTTATTTTAATTTGGTTGGTTGGTTGGTTGGTTGGACACATTTCTCTAATCTGTGTTATACTGTCAAATCAATTAAGACTGCAATCAGATTTTATACCCCACAAACATTTTTTGTTTTAAAATAGCTTTATAATATCATACAGAAACATTATAATTTGGAGTACTTTAGACCAATCTGGGACATTAAGTATTCTTCTCACATGGAAGAACTTTAGTTATTCTATCAAAATATATATATTTAAATTGAATGCAATTTTGATGGCATTTCAGTTATTAATGTAATCTAATATTATAGCCATTCAACTTTAATTCTGCTGTTATGGAATGTGGACATGAATACAGACTGAAGCAATGAGAGGATAGGTGGCCAATGCCCAGAGATAGAGATGAATGTGCGAAGTGGATTTGTGGGGTGCGTTGAGAATGTTGCACATACTGGAGACCTATATTAATATATATATATATATATATATATATATATATATATATATATATATATATATATATACTGTATATA